GGGATTCCTTCGTGTTTTTCTGACTTTTATGTTTGTGACACAGTCATAAAAGACTGAAGAGTGTACCTGGATCAGATGTGCAGTCTCCGCTGAGGTGTGGTATTTTCTTTTTTGATGTATCACACGAACAAAGTGTGTCTGACAGGATAACAAATAGACCTTATGTTGAGCTTATCATTCTTACAAGAAAGTGGTTAATATCATATCAGCTGAATATGAGTCATATGTAAATATTACACGCTGAATAATCTTTAACATTTTAGTGTTACAAGTTTCACTATTGAAATATTTTATTTAACTGTGGTAGATTCTACAGAGTATTGATGTTGGTTTATAAATTCAAGTTACCCAACTTTTGTTATATGACCACTAACTATACCTACTACTTTTTGGAACTGTTTAAAGACCTCTGCTTAAGTGTATTTTATCCACAAAGTGTATGTCAGCCAAGTTTACTAGATTTTAGTGAAAACAATAAATGTGCATTTACTTGATGAAAACTGCTAAAACTAAGTTCAAAAAATAAGTTTCTAATCTTACCTATGTTCCTACTTATCTGTTTTTATTTTTGTGGTCGAAGTGTGCTGTTTTACTTTACTTTTTTGCTGTTGTTATTCAATTATGATTGAATAAAAAAAATAAAGGAACTGTAAATTATATCTGAAAAAAACAAAACAAAAAAACTCGCATTCCCAGGATTTGTTATATCTCAATACTTTGAAAAAGGTTACTATTCTTAAGTGAAATCCTGTTTTTTTTTACTAGTGATGATCAAGTTGTCTCTGCAATGGAAGGTATCATTACAGACTGCTCCGTTGACATGAACACTCCCTCATCTGTTTTTTTAGCTTATGATACCAGGTAATTTTAGGTATTTTGTTAAGGCAAGACTCCTGGCTGGTTTTAGTATTGACTAGCTCCGAGTCATGTAGATGTTTCTCAGATAATTAACAAGGTCTTATTTTTGTATTTTGAGTATCTGTTATGTAATCAAAATACTTGTAAGCAAGCTCAGAACCATCCAGTTACTAACGGTTTGAAATGCTGATGCAATATAAAGTGAATATATGGCTCACAAATGTAGCTGTATGATTTATCAGTGTTATATCTGTTCATTTTACAAACACATTCTTCTGAAATCATTGCATTTAATACAATGTAATACAGAGGTCACTATACTCTATAACTGAAGTCTTTAGATACAACTATTAGTCATCAAAATTAAAATCTACACAAGTTACCTAAATAGACCTCTACCTGCATGCATACCTGATCCACAAAATGTATGTCAGCCAAGGCTTGTCACATGTTAGTTTAAAAAAAAACACAAAAATGTTTCTATTAGTTGAGAAAAATTGCTCAAGCAAATTTCAAGAATTTGTAAATTATTCCTGTAAAAAGAACATACTTCTTTATTCTTGAGTAAACTGAAAAAGCTGACTATTCCTATAAACCTGTATAAGTGAAATCCTATTTTGAATATCCATCAGGTAATCAGAGCATTTGTAAATAAACTCAAAATCATCCAGTTACCAAAGCTAAAGTGCTAAGATGATATAAAGATATGTCTGTGTGTGTTTGTGTAGCTGAATTATTTATCAGTTTCTCTCTGTTCATTTTCTCTTCTCACTTGTCCTCCCATCTTGTTATCTTCAGAATAGAGCACAAAAAAATCTGAGACTTATTTTATCGACCCCTGAATAATCTTGTAAACTCCAATAAAACCATCTTTTACTCGTATTTTCTAAAGAGAAAATAAGAGAGGTTTAAATATTAAAATATTTGTGAGTCATCAGTTTAGAAATATGTATTTAACATGTGAATATATAAATTTGTAATATCAAGATATTATGTAATGTTTTACACCAGAAATTGACATACAGAAAAAAGTGATGATTTGACATAAAAGTTGCAGTTAACTTCATATCAAGGTTTAAACATTTTTTGTAGATCTTACTGTTAATTTGCTCTACTGTTATGTCTTATTAATGCAGTTTGTTTTTTCTCTCTAAACTAGACAAAGTAGTCCACATCTTGCACAAGCTGTCATTGATGGTGTTCAGTCACTTGAAGGGCATGTAGAAAACTTTGGTAATTTTTTGTATTAGCTTTAATTTTATATATATATATATATGTGTGTGTGTGTGTGTGTATGTGTGGATATATATACACACGCACACATACACATACATGTATTTTTAATAACACTTTTTAAGATATAGTACCATTAGAAAACTTAATTATACAATTAATTTGTAGTAATTGATTTGATTACCATTTTTGTAGTACTCACAAATTAATAGCTTTTCTAACTTCATCTAGAAACTTAAAATTTGGCTACAGCTAGAGTAGTCTTACCAGTTCTATTAAACCTAAGGAAAATATAAACAATGTACATAGAAATGTATCATAAATTAAAATCAATTTTTTAAAGAAAAATTAAAATTATACATAAGCACTCATTTTTGTAAAACCAGAAATACATTGACTGTTAAATATTTGATATACTACTGCATATTCATCTAGCATTTAAACTTCATTCTATTCATAATTTTTTTTTTTATAAATCTTTAAGAATGTTGTTAACATCATGAGAGATTATATCCATGTGATTAGTTTTTCAAACATATGATTAATTATAAATTATTGATAAAACTCACGTTGCTGGTATGTGTAATCTTCAAACAAAAAATTATCTTTGGAATCATTTCTCATTTGTAAATGACTTAAATCAAATTCATAACAATTAAAATTCCCTTACATAATCTAGTTCATACCATAACAGTTGTTGTGGCGATATAGATAGCATATTGACCAATACTATGTCTGTCATATCCTAGCTGACATGATGAGTCCTGGTATTGGGCATAAGGCCCATTCATCACTGAATATGGCAGATATAGTGTGGTCGACATATTGATACATATTCTTCTTTGGTTCCTGTGAAGTTCTTAGAATTTTGCTTCAACGTAATTTTTTCATGTCAAATACACGATTTGTGAATAACTTGTGCTATGTATGTTATGTTTTGTCTTCATTATAAAATTATATATAAAGGAATGTTTCTAAAACATACAGTATCTGTTTCTGAAAATACCTACAAATCTTTAAATATAAGATGCACATCCTTAAAGTTTTATATACATATTTTTAAAAATTCTTGATGAGTACTGTCACAGTAATAATGGTCAGAACATTTTTAGAGTGTGTCATATTGACTGCAATAAAATATTAATGACAAGCATGAAATTCCTTTCACATTCACAAATACTTCCTCTCAGATATTTTGAGATGTGTTAATCATTTAGAGATGCGTCTACTGTGGACATATAATATACTGAAAGAAATTGTCAACCAAGCAGCTTCTCACTTTTAGATTGTTCAGTGTTTCTGTAACATTGCTGAACTTTTGTCATACTCACAGTATTTAATACAAAGTTGCAATGTATTGGGGATTCTTCTAAAAATGCCACATCTTTCAGAAAAACATATCTTTTTAGTCAGTTCTAACTGATAGCATGCAGAATTATTCCTACAAATCAAACCTTGTCAGTTTTACCAAGTTAACTGTCAGGCAACATTATGTTTGGGTCCTGAATTATCTCTTATGTAATTACATGTTTGGACAGTGAATGTGATTGACAGTTGATAAGAAGAAAATAGCTGTCAAAATCTGTTATACTAACTAACTTGTATATTTAATGTGTGTTGAAAGTTGGAGCCATTTCTGATGTTCACGAAAATTTGAACATGAATGTAAAGGAATAAAATTAACTCTATCTTCAAGACAAATTAGCTTTAATAAATTGTTTCACTTCACAGCCTCACATGGGTTCTTTGGAAATACTATTTTTTTTTTGTAATTTGTTACTTGCATTTGCTTTTATGCAGGACTGCTAGTTTACAAAGGTAAGAGCAACAGAGTTTTACACTATTTCACAATTTGTCAGTCGGTATTCTGATATTTGAACATGTGAGGTTTTTAATGCATGTGTTTTTTTTGCAAGGCATTTTGACAACTCCCCAGCTACACTATTTGGTGAGGTGCAAGAATACAAATGAGCAGTATGGTGCATGTAGTGAGGAGGGATATTACAGAAAACTTTCCAAAGCTTTTCTGCACCTAAGAACAGTTGTGAGTAGTTATATTTTTTCATTTATGATAAACTTAACAGCACAGAATGAGCATTCAGGTAGATAAAACATTAGTGAGAGAGGAAGCTATAGTTAACAAGTAATAAAAAATTTTTGAAACAGATAAGGATGATGTAGGGATGGCAATGCCAAAAAGTACACATAAGTACACAAATCTTTCCAAGAAAAACTTTTATCTACAACTAATTGTTGAATTCCTTTCATTTGCATGAATTCAGGTTTGAATTAAAGCATTTAAACTGAATGATGCTATAAAGTCATACAATTCCTGATTTCCATAAGCTTGTAACATTGATTCAGTGGCTACTTATTTAGGGATTTTTGTATGGTTTTGTGTATTCATCCCTACATTGTTTCTGTACTTTTTGGCATTTTCATTCCTATTTAATCCTTATTTTTTTTAAACAATACCAATGAATATTTTATAATGAATGGCAGTGGTTATGAAGGCAGCAGTTTTATCCTTGTTATGAAGAATTGTCTTGATGGATATCATGTGTTGAAGTTAGAGAAATGCTATACTGCTTTTGGACTCCCCAGGTTAAGATGCAACATTTTGATGTGTAGATCATTACAACAACTTCTAGCATTGATGAGCTATTCCTTCTGATGCCAGAATCAGAATACCCAGCAGAACATTTGGCTATTATGCTACTTGCTGGTTCTCCACTTTAGCAGTGTTTTTGGGCTAAACTGAAGGTCTTAATAGCTTTTGAAAACCTAAGTTAGGTGTTTATAAAAGTGTCTTAGATTGTTATAAGAGAAATTTGAGACTGTGATGAGCAATACATAATATTTATTTTGGCCATTTATATCCCAGACCATCTCTACATAGTAAGCACTAACGTGCTTAGTGATAAAATAATAAGATAGGTTCATCTGGAAGATCCAGTTGTAGATGTGGGACCTTATAATTTCATAGTTTGATTATGATTCTCAGATATTCCATACATTTTATATGTGATAATTTCTGTCTAGAAAGATGTTCTTCCAAAATGTATCAAGCCATCATTAATACATGTCAGTATGGTATATTCCAGGTCACTTTATCTCTGAAAATCTGCATTAAGGTAGTTTTATAAGTCAATATACTGTATGTAAGATCAGTAAGATAGTTGTAAAAGTCAGTAATTTGTATACCAGATCACTTTGTGTAATGAACTCTGTATAAGTGAAATACTGTATACCAGGTAACTTTTTTTTTGGAAGAAAGAAAATATCAGTAAAATGGTTGTACAAGTCAGTGTACTGTATATCAAATCACTTTGTGGATAAAAACAATAAGTAAGGTAGTTGTACATGTCATTATACTGTATACCAGATCACTTTGTAGATAAAAACCATTAGTAAAATGGTATATGTATGTTAAAGATTTCTTTTTCACCAGAGGTGAAACTGAAAAGAGAATCTATGATGTAGAGGCCTAATGCATTCCTTGATTAGCTGAACCCTCTGCTGTGGACTGCAGTTTCACCTTTCCACACAGCTTTGGTCAGTAAACCAAAGAAATACTATTAGGCCTCTTATAATGGGGAATTGTATATAATTTTTATTGGTTTTCGATTCTGTTTTACTTCACCATATGGTAATCTAAATTTATTTAGGTATGCGAATAATGTTATGACATTTTATTCAATTCATTATTTGATATTATACAGCAGACCAACTGTTTAATGATTGTGTGTGTGTGTGTGTGTGTATATATTATGGCTACAAACGTAATAAAATGTTATAGTAGCAGTTTCTCACATGCCCTTCTCTTAGTTCTTTTCATCTGATTAGCTACAATCATTCCTTTTGTAAGGTCAGAAATGTAATTTATTTATTAACATGTGGTATGTGTAATATGTTGGACAAATGTCTAATCCTCTACATATTCACATGAATCTGCATAGGTCTCAGAGTAAAAATAATGTGGTAGATTTAATTGAACTAGAACATTTGAGAATCCGTCCCTTTGCTTGAATAGTAATTACAATTTTAGAAATTGTGAATATAGAAACAGAGAGATTACAAAAGGAAACTTTTATATTATTCAGTATAAAATGTTATATCCTTACAGTTTAAATCAAGACTATAACAGTACCACTACTATAAATTTAAGTAATAACAACTTTGTTAGTAATTTCTTTTGTCTAGATAGTATCAATAAAAAATGTACAAAAAGAAAAATTAGAGAAAAAGGTAGAAATAGATTAAAATGGGTGGATTTTATTCAATTTTGTACAGATTTAGATAGTTTTTATATACTTACTAATAGTTGTAGTTATCTCTACAAGAATATATATAAACTAAATATTTCAAAGTTAAAATTATTAGTAAAAATTTTAATCACATTTAATTTTAAAAATAATCATGTTAAACACTTAATTTCAAATATTATAAAATTTAAACTTAAGTTGAATAATTTAAATGATATAATTAATGAAGTGCCAAAAAGGAAATCATCGTATATAGTAATAAATTTTGAGCATAAGGTTGTAAATGATTTACAAATTTCTAAAATTTTCCATGATTCTCTTACACAAAATATCTTTCCTTTAAAATATCTAAAACCTGTTACTAGTTTTAAATATGAAATTCCAATAGGACATCTTGTATGAAATTATAAAGATTTTTTAAATAGTTTAAATATAGATAATGTGCAGAATTTACCATGTAATTGTTACTTAAATTCCTTGACAGATTCTTTTCATAAATGTGTTATGATTGGTAATTTGGATATACTAAAAGAAAACTCTTTATAAAGAATCTGGAAAAAAGTGGCAAATATAGAATAACTACAAAATGTAGAAAAATAGATATATATAAAATATCATAAATAAAAACATTGATTATATTCTCAAACTTAATTATTTTGTGTATTATCCTCCAAATTGGTTTCTAGAATGGAAATATTATGTGATTAATAGAATTAAAGATAAATTAGCTTTTATTGATTTAAAAAAAAATCCAATACACATAATATTTTTTCAGTTTAGAACTAAAATCGGTAAAATACAAGAAAAATATATTATTGTGCCTATTGATAAAGCCAACTGTAATTTGGGTTTTATCTGTAAACGTTTTATGTGCAACTTGTAACTAATGCAATAAATATTACATAAAAAAAAATTTAAATTACAAAATGTCGAAAGATACTATTATTAATAATTTGTTGAAAGCTATAAAAGAATTTGATGTTAAACAAATCCATATTCAGAATTACTGTATCTATATGCCGTTCCTAAACTACATAAATTTCCCATTTAATTGCGTTTTATTTTTATTTCATTAAAACATGTATTAAAACAACCTTCAGTTTTATCAAATAAATTACTGACTCAGTTACTTCTTAAAGTAAAACAAAATGTAAGTAGTAAACATGATTTCTGGATAATTAAAAATAATGAACTTATCTTAAAAATATTAGAAAATTTAAATAAAAAACATTTAACAGATACAGTACAAACTTATGATTTTACTACTTCATTTACAACTATACCACTTAATGATTTGGTAATGGGATTAATTCGTTAATCTGCTTACATATTATCCAGTCTGTTGAGTGACTATATAGCTCAGCAATACCATACACTTTTCAAAAAACATAAAAATCAAATAATGATAACGTGTGTTTTTTACATCAAGTATACGTACACGTACCTTGTGGAATTACCACTCCAGAGTTGCTGTACTGAAGTTATATTTTAAGCCATGCTAATTCTCTTAAAATTAAGGCTACTAATATAGAGAACAACATCAATTCATAAATATTAAAAACTTAATTTTGGAAACCATTGATTATTTAGGTGTATAGGTATTTTTAATATGGCCTTGTAATATTTTGCACCACATGTTACATGTTATACCAATGGATGTTGAAAATTAAACTTGTCAAACATGACACATTTCAAAACTGTTTTCATTCTTTGTTTATAAACACTATGGTTCCTTTTGTTTGTTCTAACATATTATAATTAAAGTTCTGGTATACATACTATCTGTTGGAGAATGAATAAGTCTGAGGGTTCACACTGCTAAACCTGGGCCTCAATACTAGTGGTAAGCACAGCACATAAAATCCATTATGTCTCATTGTGTTTAACAACAAACAAACAAATAATCCTTCTTTAATTTGATTAATATTATTTATGATTTTAAATAAACATCATATTTTAATAATACTGATATTTCTACACATCTTTGGTTTGGAGCATTGTGACTTGAACAAGTATAGGATAAATCACTCTGATGACTTTTATATATCTGTTTAGTTTATACATACATCCTGACTGTGAAAGTCATTCTTGAACAACTTCTTGTAAACAGGTGCTCATTGCAAGTGAACATTGTTCTCAGAAAAGTTGTTGTAACCAGTTCCAAGTGCAAGTGGGCATTTTTTGGTCTGTAATTATCACCACGGTACTTGTTCTGATTGACACCTACTTGATTCTTGTGAAGTCATAATTGCTGACTCAGTAAGCCATGGGAAATGTGGAGATTTGTGTACGTGAAAAATCATTCAGATTGTCAATATATGAACTAATTCATTATATTAGCAAAGTTGTGTCTGTCATAAACAAAGATTTAGGTAGGTTGTTCTTAAGGTTTGAGTACCACTTATCTTTTCAAAGTGTTTTCATTTTCAAAATTATAGTTGTTTTATACTGCTTAAAAAGACTGTGAATAATATACTGTTTTATATATAATTGTCTTATTTTCTTCCTGTCTTGTATTTTTAAAGAAAAGGAATGTCCATCACTTTTGTGAAATAACACAAAGAAACAGGAGCTTTGCATCTTTTTAAAGTACACACCTAACTATATATCTGTGTTATTTGTTTTATAAATAAACAGATAATTGGTATTAAACAAAATAATTTTTTTTCAATTATTTAACAGTAACCTTTGTATTTTAGGGAGCATCAAAAGGTAACTATCAATCATCTTTAAATTTGGATGGAGCAAATGGAGTGGGAGCCCTGAAAATGAAAGTGTTTCAGAAGTATTTAGGAGAAGGACTTAATGTGACTATCTTTAATGATGGGAGCAAAGGAAAACTAAACCATATGGTTAGTTACCTCTATGATTTTGTAAATCGTAAAGTAACTAAAATTGAAATAACAAATTTCCCTTATTCTCTGAATATGTTCACAAAGTAAGATTGACCTTTATTGATCAGAAATTTCAAGGCAGTTGTAAATTAGGTGTTATTATTCATATTAATAGCAATTTACTGAATAAGTTACTCTGAAAGAAAATTTTGACCATTAGTGAATAAGCAACTTGTTTTATAATTTTAATAATGCTTTTCTTAATAATAACTATGGTAATAATTGTTTTTTCATGCTTACTGAAAGAATTGTATGCTTAAAATAAGTATTATTATGCTGCACTAAACCAAATAATTTATGTAAAATAGAAATTAAAGACCTGATTTATCCCCTTTCTCAACATGATTGTTAAAAAAACTGAGAAAATATGGCATATTATGCATTGCATCTAAAGATTATTTGAAAATGTGTAAATTGTTAGGCTAGAATATTTGATACTTTTTAACATGCACAATTAATACCCAGTACGAGTTTGCTGATATATTTGTAAACTGGAATCTTGTACCAGAGCTGGTTATGGCACTGAATGAAAGTTATGTTGTATGTTTGTAAACTGGAAGCTTGTACAGAGTTGATGGTACTGAATGGGAGTTTTGTAGAACATCAGAAAATTTGAAGTTTGTACAGAGTTGATGATGGTACTGAGTAAGATTTTTCTAGTACATTTACAAACTTGAAGTTTGTACAGAGTTGGCGATGTAACATATGCACACTTAAAGCTGTATAGATTTGCTGATGGTACTGAAAGGGAGTTATGTTGTATGTTTGTAAACTGAAATTTTGTACAGAGTTGGTGTTGGTACTGATTGTGAGTTTTGTAATGCATGTGTAAACTGGAAGTACCCCTCCCCCTTTTTTAAAGCTTGTAAGTTTTCCATTTCAGCAAAGATTTATATGGATATTGAGCAAGTGATAAAAGCTTTGATGGTGATATGTTGCTAGAAGAAAGTGTTTATGAACAACTTCCAATATAACAACAGTCCTGATTTTTTAAAGCTTGCAAAAAACTTGATTTATCATTTTATACTTCATTTAAATCATTATGTTAAAATACAGTAGGAAAAGAAATGTTTTTGTGAAACAAGATGAAGTAGTCTTAGTTAAATTGTTTTGCACTTAACTGTGTTAAGTTTTGTTTTGCTGACAAGGTTGTTGTGTTAGGCCTTGTTTGCTTTAGACTATATCAGCCAAAGTAACAGCTTGAATGAGCAAAGAAACTTGCCAAGAAGAAAATGTAAAGAAATATAAATGTATATTTAATGGTTTAAAAGTTCTTACATGTAAGTAATGAAACCTCTGATTAATGATTTAAGAAAAGTTGGTTTTATTATACTTTACCATTATGTTAAAAAAGACTTTTTGTATGCCAGTGATCATAATCAGTAAAAATGCATAAGTTGTTTTCTGAATCAAGACAAAAATAAAATTGTATGAAACAAAAACTTTATAGGAGAGTTTTAGAAGAATGTAAGAAAGAGTTAAAAAATCAGTAATTAAAATTTAAAATTTGTAATTGTTTCTTAAAAAACAGATCACGATGAAATATTTCATAAATTTCAAAACTATGAATTTATGGAAATATCATATATGAAAATATTTTATTTGCAGAAGTAACATAACCTGTAAAGATTAATTCTGAAGGTGCAAATGACTTCATCCAGGAGGTTTTTTTTCACAGTGCAGTAAAACAAACTCACCTAGATCTCATACAGTTGAAATACCCCATTTTTTCTGACAACCATTTCGTAGTTATTTTCATGATTATTTATAACTGTGCATTATTGAGAGAAAAAAAAAATGTCAATCACATGTAAATTTGCCAAATTAATTGCTTATTTTATTGACACATAAATTTCAATGGTTTCATTTATTTTTAATTGTAGCCAGAATTTCATTGTCAAATTGGTAATGTTATTCTGCTCCTTCATTAAAAAACTTAGTTGATTTGTAGAAAAGTCATAAAAATTGATATGAAATTGAATGATTTTTGATAACACCTTGGAACTAAACATTATTACAAAACAATTTTTCTTATTTCTGTAATTTACTTTTAAAAATGAGCCTATTACATACCAAGAATGTTTTATCTTTTTTTTCTACTTAACTATTAATGAACTAGTTGCAATAATAACACAGGCCTGCGAATTTAAACTTCATAAAAGTTGTTTTGGTTTTATTAATGGATGGGCCATAATTTTTCTAAAATTATCATTTTTTTCTATCATGTAAGGATTTATTACAAATCGTGAAGGAAAAAACTTACTTAGATCAAATTATTATTTCGTTTACTGCAATGAAGATTTTTTATTATTATGTTTGTTAATAAAAATACAAACAATCTGAAGAAAAGGGAAGAACATTGATGTCAAATAAATATGAATCCTCTTTCATCCAGATTTTTTTGTATAATCTATGTCTTTTAGTTTCAAAACTTCGTGTTGTGGTCTTTCTTTTATGTATTGCATTATGATGCTTTATGAAAAATCTGTATGTAATGGAGAAAAATGGATGTAGTTTTTGGATTCAGCATACAGGAATTATTGTAGAACATGTAAAAATTTCAAGACAATAAAACCATCACAGGCATGTGTAATTGTTCAAGGACTCCATTTATATGAATTGCTTTACTTTTGTGTTGCAGTTTAAAAGTTACATTGTAACAAGTTTAATATTTGTTGTTGTTTTTCTTGTAGTGTGGAGCTGATTTTGTGAAAGTTCAACAAAAAATTCCAGAGGGTAAAAAGTTACATTTCGTTTGTTTATAGGTTTTATCTATAGTTATTATTCTTAAGAATATGGTCATTTTCACATCTTTGTTTGTAATTTTCTCTTTATTCATATTGAAGAATATTCTAATTCATCATTGACTGAAATGTCCACACAGTTGAAGCATCTAGAGAGATTACGTTGTACCTTATTTGATGCTATTTTTATAGTTTTTAAAATATATCTCAGCTGATGTAGTAACACAGAGTTAAGGTACGTAACATTGAAAAGTATTATTTGATGGTTAAGACATATAATAAATGAGGTGTTGAAATAGTTATGGTAACTGAAGATGAACTTAGAAAATTATTTTAGCATATACTAGAGCTGTGTGATTAGTGGAATTTGCCAACCGATTATTATCATATGGGATTAATCATTATATTTTTCAGCTAATTGTTTTGTAAAGCATTTTTAAACAACCCTTAATTTAATATAATAGACACCTTCTGGCAGTTGCCATTTGACCATTTTGCCAAAAAAAGATTTGGCTAGAAGAATTATTTTGGCATAAAATTTTATTGTAGAATTTTTTTAAATATAATTTGATCATTTCGTACTTTGTGTGTTACTGATGTTAAAACAACCAGAAGGCTGCCATTTGTTTGCTGTAATTCCCCAACTGATCTGTTTGAATCAGGTAAATTAATAATCAGATAATGAAAACATGTTTAACTATTACTGATAATGGTAATAATCTTTTTATTTAAAACATATGATAGTAATTAGAATAATTAAGGAACTAGTTAGCCAATTCATGTACAGTTAACCCTCCTATACCGTGTTTTCTCTTTCCAAGTATCAACTGATATGTTTTGTATATGATTTGGTGTGCTTCCTACATTAGAATATTGAGTTATGTGATTTATATATCTAGCCTATCATTTTAAGTGTTTTCTCTATCTTTACCTAGGGGTTTAACACAATTATTTAAGCTATTTGATATAACAACAGTTGTTATGGTGTGAATGTCATTTGAAAAGATAAAAAAAAATTAATATTCAGTAAATAAGGATTTGAGTCATCAGAATATTTTGCCATCACTTACCCTATTCACCAAAAGTAACTAAGCTTTTCTGATGTCTTCTCATTGAAGACAATTTCTATAGGTATTAAACAGATATAATTTATCACACTAAATCTTTCATGAATGAAAAGAACATTTAAATAAATATAAAAACAATTCCCATTGAATGTTTGTAGTCAGTGCTACAGGATCTCTGACTAGAAGCTTAACATAATGTTTAGGAACAACAAAGGATCTATTGGTCCATCTCAGCTGTCCAATTTCTTAAACTAAACTAAAACTAATAAATAAAAATCTTAAAGCCAGCCCTTATCATTAATATAGTTATCAAACTTTCTGTTACACTCGCTTAAATTTACTGCCTCCACAACATCCAAAGGTAACCCATTTCAGAGGCCAACCACCATGTTAGAAAAATAAAACTGTATTATCTGAAGATGATTCCTACCTTGCCTAAATTTGTGCTCCCTATTCTCATCGTTAAGGGCCCAGCATGGCCAGGTGGTTATGGCGCACGACTCGCAATCTGTGGATCGCAGATTCGAATCCCTGTCCCACCAAACCTGCTCGCCCTTTCAGCCGTGGGGGCGTTATAATGTGACGGTCAATCCCACTATTTGTTGGTAAAAGAGTAGCCTATGAGTTGGCGGTGGGTGGTGATGACTAACTGCCTTTCCTCTAGTCTTGCAATGCTAATTTAGGGACGGCTAGCGCAGATAGCCCTCGTGTAGCTTTGCACAAAATCCATAACAAACTTAACTCACTGTTAAGTATGAAAAAAGATGAAACCATAAAATACTATTGAATCCATCGTATTTATTCATATATAATGTGAAAATTAATTCTTGCTCTTTCTGGTCATATTTAAACTTTCTTTATTGCTTTTGTAACAAAACTTATTTCATTAGTAAATGTTCAATCCACTTAATGTGCCATCATAAAAAAGTAACAACCAAATCCTATACAAAAACTAAGTTGGAAAAAGCAAGAGAAACTCTTGAAAACCAAGCAATAAAATTATTCTTTATGAGCTAATAAATTGTGAAAAAAAAATTATAATGTATTGTTTCTAGGCAAAACTCCTGGGATTTGTACAAAAATGAAAATTTGAACTTTATAAAAAACTTTCTTCATGATTTACAATAATTAAGTGTTAAAACATGACAAAATATTGATTATAAAATATTTTTGAGTTAAAATTGAGTTAGAATTAACACATAAAAGTGACTTAAAAATTTGTGGTTCAGAAAAATGTAAAGTACCAGAAAAAAATTCATTTGGTAAAAGTGATGGTGAAAAAATATGAAAAGTCAGAGGAAACCCTGTCTTTGGGAATAATACTTTAGGTTAGGTTTCATTTTTAATCCTAAACTGTTGTACATGAAAATATGTCGTATATATAACTCAGTACAAAATCTTTAGCAAACTAAAAATACAATTAATAACATTCCATGCATTTCTCCCTATTTTAAGTACGATAGTACTTAATAGTAAGGATTGACAAGGATTCCAAATAATTCACACATAAAAAAAAACACGCTGTTGAATTCCTAAGCGAAACACTGACCATTCAAAGTATTGGTTACGATATATTATTTGCATATATACTGATAATATGATAAAAAGGTCATAAGCATTTTTGGTATAACAATTCAAAAATTTCTCAAACAGCAACTTTTTCATCTACCTACCTGATCACGTCAGCAGGTCTAGCACTTAGATAGCTTGGACTACAGCTACAAGATTTCTCCAGCATATTTGACTGGTCTGTGGGTATCTGCTTTTAATATTCTGATAAAAATCAATACATATACAGCTATAATATAAACAATAATGGTAAACATATGCACATACTTAAATATCTTTTCAACCCAATGGATGGTGATACATTTCGATAGATAGACGTGACAGTTTCTAAAGGTAAAGTATATACTTTATACTGGTAAAATATAAAAAGTAAACAAACAAGAGTATTAAAAAATTATAAATGTTAAAATGAAGTAAGAATTAAAACCCCAATCACAAATTTATAAAATTTAATCGCAACTTTGGCAGCGTTATGCACTTATCTGTAGGCTAAAGTAAGGATTAAATTCTATACATGGTGCAAAATATCGATGGATAGACACGTGACATTTTCTAAAGGTAAATTATATACTTTATACAGGTATAATATAAAAAGTAAACAAACAAGAGTATTAAAAAATTATAAATGTTAAAATAAAGTATAGATCCTGCTATAAAAAGTAATGAAAAAAGAATTAAATCTACAATCACAAATTTATAAAATTAAATCCCTACTTTGGCAGCTGTTATGTCTCTGTGTTCGTTTGTTAATTTTCCCTAAAAATTCTTTCTGAGAAACTTCTGTGATACAAGTCCTTTGTTAAATAAAACTAGTTTATTCTTTCTCAATTCAACTTTGCAATACACCTAATTTCCACAGTCACTTTAACTTAAACACACGCTATAATTCACAACGATTCACACACTTTACTTGCAGTGTTCGCTTGACTCAATTATCCATGTTTATATCTTCAATCTCTCTATCTGCAACTATATTCTCGTCGTCACTTTATTTACCAGCTTATATACTATAAAAGCGTACATCTCGTCTCTTCATGAATCTTCTAGATACTCATCACATGTTACTAGCGTCACATGACTTCTGCCGTCGTAACATTACACTTATCTTTAGGCTAAGGTAAGGATTAAATTCTATAAATTTGTGATTGTGGTTTTAATTCTTGTTTCATTACTTTTTATAGAGCAGGATTTGTATGTCAATTTAAAATTCATAATTTTCTCATACTCTTGTATATTTCCACAATACTATTCTAAAACTACAGAATTTTGTTCACAAAATAACTAGATATAACAGTGACCAGGAAGATAGTATAAGTTATGTGCACTTAGTTCTGGGAACTGAATTTATGGTTTCTATGAACACGACTATATCAAAGTGATCAGTTATGTGATGGTGAACAGAACATACAAACAACATTTAAACAATCAAACACATGAATACTCTTTAGTGCATCTGCACTGTATAAAACAACAAAAAACTTCACAGCATATACCACTTGACTTGTTAGAGATAAAGGAGAATAAGATTAATACAGATAAAAACTTAGGATTTTGGAAATGACAAGAAACTAGAATAAGAAAATGTCAATTCCACACATCTTTATCCTTAACTTGTACATTTGTTATTACACATAAAGCTAAAATAGATTAATTAGGTGTTTGTGGTAAAAATTTCAAGATAAAAGTAGGTAGGATTTTTATTAAACATATACAATACACTGTAACATACCATTATAAAAAAAATGTTTTCTTGCATCACATAAAATCAAGAATTAAGTTTCTTTTAATTTTTTTAGTTTCATATCTGTTCTTTTAACAACATGCAATATTTTTTTTAATCTTTTTTTAAAAAACAAACCTCTTTAATCAATGGAGACTCTAAATTAAGAAATCAACAATTGGCTATAAATGTCAAGTTGGATTAATCTGATTATAGCTTCCAAAGGGTTTACTAAAAGTTAAAAGTCTATTCAGGCAACTATGTACTAGAAATGACGACTTTAGCCTATGACCATAGGATTTATGGGAAGTAAAGTACTTTCATGATAAAGTTTATGCACTTGGCTGTAGGCTAGGTTATCTCACACCATGTCTTTACTTTAGGATTATTTCATAATTTCTCTAAATCATACCAACATTCACAAGGTTTCATGTGCCCCCTTACACCCCCCCCCCCATCACTAAAATCGTAATGTATGCCAAAACTGAAACAGAAAGGCTGCGATTCATTCACATAAACCAAAAGAAGTTCCGAGTTGAAGACTATGTTCATCAGAATACACACACACACTGATATAGTCATCTAGAATATATCGACCTAATAACCTGAGCAAAGCTAGGTACTTTTGCTAATGTTTTCATAATTGAAGATGTAATGGGAATAGAAAATTGTAACCATCTGGCTGGCTAAGACTCCTTTCTCATCATCAGACATATGATGGTCTCTGATAAATTATGAATAACCACATCTGGGTGTTTCAAAAACGTTTGCCCACATCTGTGCTTTTTAAAGTCATTGAGATTATGTAAATGTTCAACTCTAATCTCAGTTAAAGATTATTATTATAGTTAATAATTTTTCAATTATCCTAGTTCTATTGGGGGACTAACCTAGTTTTGCAGTTGCTTTAAAATTTCTTCTAGTTGTTTCTTTGAATTTCAGTTTGATAAGCTTTATCTTTTAAGTTTGATATCCAGAAATTTATTTTGAAATTGTTTATATATATTTCAGAGAAACTATTCGTTACTAGCAACCCTAAATTGAAGGAATTTGGGAATAGATGCTAGTTTTTTGCAAGTTAGGAGAAAATGTTCATGAAAAATATCTATATGTAGTTTGAAATTAACTCTGTAGTTTTCTATAACTTTATAATAAGTGTTCCTATCACTCAAAGCAGATAAAGCTCCGACAGCTGAAAGAACAAACATGTTTGGTGGCAATGAAAATTGAATCCCAGACCCTATATTCATGAGGCAACCCCAAATCAACAAGCCATACTAGACCAAAGCTGAACAAACTCAAAATGATAAAAAATAACGAGAAGTCATGATGGCAATATCTCAATAACTTGGGTAGTTGAAATAATTGAAAATAATAATAATTGCAAACCATAATATATAGCTTAAGTAATTATTTTCATGAGTTGTTCCACTAATGACTAAGCTGAACAACCTTGGATTAATAATGAAAAGTCATATTGGTAGTATTTTGATTACTTAGATTAATTTAAAACTGTAATAATCAGAAACACTAATTATCATTAATTTATTATTTTTTTGACATTGATCACTGTAATTTGGTTAATTGCCCATCTCTATGTAATGATGCTATGGTAGATGACGTACAGATAATGGAAAAGCAAATAATATTTGAAATATAGACACAAAACAGCATATATATCACTTTGTGGATAGAGAGATTAATTATGTTATACTTCAATAGGTGGATTACAAAAAGTTGGCAAGTTATGTCACAGTTGATAGGTACAGACTGTGGTTAGGGTATATCACAGTTTATGGGCTAGGGATATTGTAAGTGAACAGAGAAAATTCTTGTTTAAAGTATGTAAAAAATTTAAAATTACAGAAAGTGTTTGAGTATATCACAGTTGAATTGAGAAATAGAAATTTTGTCTGTATGTAGACTAACTGTTAGAGGTATGTATTTCTGAACTTTCCCATTAGAGCCAAGATCTAGCTTGAGCTTTCAAAAATTCAGCTAAGTGTCCACCTTTTGTAAGCTGTAGTATTAAAAAATGTCATGAAATGATTAAAATACTAAATAATCATGATAATACTAGCAATACTTTGCATCGATAAACTATTAAGAAAAATATACTATTGGGTAATTTTTAGTTGATATAATGCATGTAATGGTTATAGTATGTTACAGTATGAGGCAGGTTGTAGTTAAGGTACTTTACAGTAGTTATAATAGTTGCAGTATATCAGGGTATGAAAAAGACTGTAGTTAAGGTACTTTACAATTGTTTTAATAGTTGCAGTATATCAGGGTATGAGAAAGACTGTAGTTAAGATACTTTACAATTGTTTTAATAGTTGCAGTATATCATGGCATGAGGCAGACTGTAGTTAAGGTACTTTACAGTTGTAATAGTTGCAGTATATCAGGATATGAGGTAGGCTGTAGTTAAGAAACTTCACAGTTATAATAGTTGCTGTATATCACAGTACAAGGCAAGCTTTAGTTAAGTTATCTTACAGTTGTAATAGGTGCAATATATCAGGGTACGAGGAATACTGTAGTTAAGATACTTTGCAGTTTATTTTGTGCTTAGAGAGGTTGAGATATAGATATATATAACATCTGACGCTGTTGCTAGTGAATATGTTTATAAACATAATAGTTTAAAAGTATGTACAGTGGTTTCTCATAAATGATTTATAAAAGGTTGGTGTAGTAGGTACAGGGTTAAGATACTTCCCAGTTGATACATAGAGTAAAATACTGTATGTCATTTATAGAAGAGTTAAGCTATGTCGCAGTTTAATATGTAAGTTAACACATATGGTTTAATTAGGGGGTTAAGGCATAGTTGATACTTAAGTTAACATAAATAAAATGTACAGGAGTTAAAGTGTGTTGAAGGTGATATTTAAGTGTTATTGGAAAATAAGGTATGTCAAAGTAAGTTAATCAAGTATCTAGAAAGAGTCTTGCTTATTAATATTAAACATGTATTTGAAGATGTTTCTTTGGAAAATAGTGCTGTGTATTTTACATATGTTTACATGTTTTAACTTGAAGGTGTTTCCATAGAAGGTTGTGAGGGCTGCATATTTTATGTCTGTTTGTATGTTTTAATTTGAAAGAGTTTTCATGGAAAATGTTGTGGGTTCTTGTTTTATGTATGTTTTGCATGTTTTAATTTGAAGGTGTTTCCAGGAAAGGTATTGTGGGCTGCATGTTTTAATTTAAAGATGTTTCCATGAAAGGTGATGTGGGCTGCATATTATACATGTTTTAATTTGAAGGTGTTTCTATGCAAGTTGATGTGGGCTGCATGTTCTAATTTTGAAGGTATTCTCGTTTAAGTTGGTGTTAGGTACATGTTTGAGATACATCTGCATGTTTCAATTTACAGGTATTCCTGTAGAAGCTGGTGTTAGGTGTGTTTCTTTTGATGGGGATGCTGATAGAGTTGTGTATTTCTATTTGGATGACAACCAGAAATTTCATCTTTTGGATGGAGACAAAATAGCCACAATGGTTTGTTCTGTGTAGGATTTATGCTCTTATGTTTACATGGTACTTTTAAAGGAGATATTAAAACTATTTACATTCAGTTATCCTACTAATTTGTGTTTGTGTGCAGTTAAGATTTTGAAGGAATGGAGCATTTCAGGCAGCAATCAGTGCAAATTGCATTTTTGATTTTTTGGTTCCACTGTTCATTGATAATGTATTAAATTTCAACCTTTACTTATCTTTTTTTCAGAATTTGTGTTATTTAAAATAACTTAGCATTTACTTAATCCTATTTACTTATTGATTATAATCAAGTGTGATTTATTAAGACACTTAAGCAAGGTCAATTATTGGTTTTACAGTTTTGAAAGATTTTGAAAATTACATTTTAAATTAGTGTTTGTATGATATGACATTTTTCTGTATTTAATTAGTGTTAAAATCCAAATGCTTTATTGATTTGTATAACTTATGTCTGTGGATTAATATGATTTTTGTCAGGTGTCAAATACAAATTCTGTAAACCAGTTGTCTTGAATCTTGGAACTATGTGATCTGAAAAGGAATTGTAGATGAGAGCTATGAAAACAGAAAATTATACTTTTTATTTTAAATAGGTAACAGCATACTTGAAAGACTTATTGTCAGCTGCTGGAGTTGATCTGGATCTGTGCATTGTTCAAACGGCTTATGCCAATGGAAGCTCAACCTATTTTATCTCTGACATTCTAGTAAGTAAGCTGTGTAACAATGAGTGTATTGCAGACATGAATTCATTGTAATCTGTCTTCATTTTGCAACATTAAGAGTCTTCAATCTGGTGTATTTACGTGTTTTACACACACACTAAAAAGAAACCTATCATTCTATAGGTATTTGAAAAACTTGTAGCAATCCACCACAATTTAATTCTTTGTATTGTTATCTCACACTGGGCATCTTGTACATAATTGAATAATTATCCAATTATTAAGTCTTTTAACAAATAAGGAAAAAGAAGCTTGATGATTGTTGCTAGTAGAATAAAACTTACAACAGTTAATCAGAATTCTCACCCATCTTTAGAAATTGGGAAAATCCTCACTGTTTTAAAACGATGGATAAACGATTCTTAAAGAATTCAAAGTTAATGATTACCTGTAACCACTGACTTTTATTTACTAACAAATATTTATTTTGATTTGTTTAATTTGAAAGACATAGCATGTAAACAGTAGTTTAAATGAATAAAATTTATTATTGATGTCTTATTGGAAAATGTATGAGAAAGCATGGTTTTGACAATATTCTTTTTTCTTTTTTTGGGGGGGTGTGGGAGCATGGAAGTGGGGCTGATAAAGATTGGTTAAAGTTTTTTAAAATATAGATCTTCCTAAAATTTATTCTTGTATGCTGTAGAATTATAAATATTTATTAAAATAACTTCATAATGTTTTGTGATATGTTCTCTGAAAACTAGTGATGTAACAAATATCATATCTGATCAGATATCAATGGATTATCTCACAATATTATGCAGGCATGATACTACTTACATGGGTGTTACACATTATAGGTATTGTATCATCTAGCTCAATGATGCTTTTTACTTAGCTTCTAAACATAGTAGCATTTTCCCTTGTATCAAAGAATAGGAGTCCTGGTAGTTATAATACAGATATCATTTTGTACTTAAAAATAAACATCCAGAGCTGCCCAGGGTCTGTTGAGGGGCCTGGCAGTGGAATATTTCAAGGCTCGCTAGAAATGCATACTAATTAATGAGCTAAAATGGCTACTAGTTTTTCATGGATTAGTGAAGAAATTTGTCACTTAAATTTCTTTTATGAAAAGTCAGAAGTTAATAAATAGAATAAAAGGGGGGCTCGATGATATTACTGACCCCTGGGCCTGAGCTGGCTCTCGACACCCCTGTAAATATCAGACCCATCTGTTGTGATGCCATTGTATGACACAGATGGTCTAGATAATGACAGAAACAACAAGCACAGTCCAAACAATAGTCTTGGTCCTAGATTGGTGTGTAAAGCACTGTCCTCCCAATAACACTTTGCAGGGTGTCTGTCCAATGGACCAATGCCATATTAGTGAAGCTACACAGAGTAATGTTTACAATAACTTTTTCTTATAATTTTGAATTTGCTATATGTATATTCACGAAATTTGAAAAGTTTTAGTGAACATTACAAATCTGTTGACATAAAAAAGTCAGAATCTTACTGTAAAGATGATCCAATATATATGTGTTAGCATCCATTATCTTGTGTTGGCTGGCTTCATTACCATACCATTCTTATATGGTAACTGGAAACTGTCCATTGGCTATTTTGTTTTAGTAGTTTTGCTTGAGAAGGGGAATATAAAAGTCTCTAAAATAAGGCACATTCTTTTTTTGTTATAGACTTTTGATTTGCATCACCCAGAGTTGAATGGCTGAATTACTGTAATTACTCTCTGATAATGTACATAGATTACTTTATTTTAAGATTTTTTGCCAGAATAGGGACAAAAAAAATACCTTGAAATAGGGTATATTTCCACTTTTTTATAAACTTTTAGCTTTGAAGTTAAAGACATGAGTACTTAATCAGTTAAATGAGTCAGTTATTAACTTCTACAAAGCATTTTTAGCAATTAGTATCTATTGAGTTCACTAGGGATTTAATTACAAAACAAAGAAAGGAAACATTATCCAGCATTTTTTTATACAATTTTTGCTTTCTTATTGGGTTCCCTCAACTAGTTTTTAATAAAGTATTTCTATTAAAAATTTGTCTCTGAATTTATATATATATCCTTTGTTGAGTCAGTTTGGGTGAAAGGTGATTTTCATGTTAAGGATGAAAATACTTTTTCCTCATGCACTTTTCATATTTCATTTGCATAACCTCCTAAATGAATATCAAAAGTTTTCTTTTGGTAAAATTTTATCCATTTCTTAAATAACTTTCAATTTTACTGCAGATTGTAACAGACAATTAGAATACTTTATTCTAACAACTTTAGGCCTCTAACCTTTTCACAACTGCTTTCATTTAGTTTTATTGTTCTTTGTCTTTGTAACAAAGCATTAAATCACTCGTCGAGAGTGAGGAGAACTTAGGGTAAATAAGCTGTCAAATTACATCATTTGACAACCCACATGACAGCCTGCATGCATCCTTGAGGAGAAATTGTTTAATATTTTTTCATTTAATTTTTCTTTTTTAACCAATTAAGTTGCTAATTTTTATATTTTAGTTACTTTTATTAAAACTATTTAACACTAAATAGAAAATATACTTAAAAAAAACAAGAAATTTAACACTTTAGTCTTGAGACATTTTGCACTTGTGCATGACTTAGTAAGCTTATTTTTTTTCTATGTTATTTGTCTACAAAATAATTCATGTAGATTTTGAATAAATATGGATTTTGGAACACACAAAATATATCACATACTAGAATACAATGTCCCAAAATTACTATCATTTATAGATTAGTTAGAAAGCCTGATTAAAAAATTTCATTACTGCTTGAAGCAACCTCTTTAGTATAAACTCTTCAGTTTCTCCTGGTAAACTATGGACATTGATCACTGAAACATAACAGTCACTTGATTTATGTAGTTTAGAATATGCACTTTCTATTTATTATAAGCACATCCAATAACAATTTCAGAGAGACCTGGTTGCTCACTTATGCAGAACTGTACATTTCCATTTCTATCAAATTTAAAGAAACAATGATAAGACACCATATCATGGTTATGTAACCAAAAACATCATAAACATTTGGAAACATATAAAAAATACAATAAAAACAGGGAAGTTATTTTTATTCAAAAACCAAGTACTAAAATCAAAAGTCATCTAAGGAAGGTTAATTCTGACAACTTCAATGATGGAAGCATCTACTAGTATTAATGCGATTGATGTGACATCACCCCTGATATAGGTGAAGTGGGATGCAACATAAACATAAGGATCAAAGAATATAACAATTCCTCATCACACATTTACGAACACAGTACAATGAATCAACATCCAGTTAACTTAGTAACTTTAAAATATTATGCAATGAAAACAATATTAATAGAAGAAAAATAAAAGAAGCATTCATTATTTGCAAACTAAAACCTAATTTAAATCAAAATACAGGTGTCACCCTATATGTTTTCTAAATTGGAACAAAATGCTTGCACATAATAGACAATTATCTGATGATGGTCACACGAGTGGTCGAAATGTTATAATAAAGTTAAACAAGGAATAAAAATAAATAATCCACTCAAAAGCTGTACTTTTGGACTTGTACTTATAATTTATAATTGTTTCCATTTCATATCAGTGAACTTTCCTGTTATCTACTAGGTACTAAGTCTCATTAAAATGTTGGACAAATAATTTTAATCTTTTAAACAAATCTAATCATCATCTCTTTCCTTTTTTCTTTATTTACATAATACAGAAAGTTCCTGTAGTTTGTGTTCCAACTGGTGTTAAGCATCTTCATCATCGAGCTCAGCAGGCTGATATAGGAGTTTACTTTGAAGCTAATGGACATGGGACAGTAAGTCAGAGTTATGAGTTTTTCAAGACTTATCTTCTTTTGTACTTTCCTCTTTAATTAACTTTTTAATTTTATTTCAACTGTGATTTTGTTTTATATCCTACTTATTTTTCATTTTAGATGAGAGAGTAATTATTTTATGGCAATTTTTAAACAAAAATATTGTAGTATAGAATATAAAATGAAAATTTGTAGCCATGGTCTTGGTTCAGACTAGAAATGCATACCCGAAATACATTAGGACAACAGCTTATGATAAGTGAGCACAAGTATCAAATGTGGTCTCACTAGTTTGTGAGTCTCCAACCATTATTAGTCTCAAAGTGGGTTCCTCGTCATCGGATTTGTGAGTGAATGTACGAACACAGTTTCAAAAATGGTGCCCCAGGGATGCCAAAAGGGCCAGGAACACAAAAGCTGATGCCAGATTTGAGTTCAGCAAACTTACTCCTCAACCCCTGTTATGCCTCTGTGACCTGGTAACTTTCAGCCTCCCATGGTACCCCAAAAAAATAAGGGCAAGGGGGCTGTGTCATATAAATAAGGATCACCCTATTCAAATGTACCTGCCAAGTTTGATCCTGCTAGCTCAAAAACTGTGGGAGGAGTTCATTAACAAACAAATTCATAGCAAAAACTAGTGTAGGATTTTTTCTTCTTTTATGGATTTTGCAAATATGTATATTCAACTTTGTATCATAAAATATTTTTGTTTGATAATTCCTAGTTTACTAAACATTTTTATGCAATCTTTTTTTCTTCACTTATTTATAATTATGCAATTTTTAGTTTCTTGATTTTATTGGAATATTTTGTGTGAACGTACTGATTAACCCTGTTTATCTTTTTCTGTAGGTAGTATTCAGTGATAAAACCATTGAAAAGCTGGAGACAGTAGTTAAAAGGTAGATAGTTCTTATTTCAATTTATTGATCAGTATTTTCAAAACCAAGCAACTTGTGCCAGCTTACCACAACTAATGTAATGGTGCTGGAAAGTTTAACTGGCTTAACTTTAAAAAAAAGAAAATAATACGTTTACAAAATTGTGCCTGACTTGCGTCATGATAAAATGTCTTGATTTCACACCTTTTTCTTATATTTTCATAAACAAATAGTAGATCTCACATGAACAGAAATTTAGTGAAATTAAGCTTGCATTTTCAAGTTGAAATGCATGATATTTATTGAAGGAATTCAGAATTTAACCAAATTCTTAAAAATGGAATCTTTTTATACTCAACTACATAAACAATCTAGGAGTTAAGTAAACAAAATATTTTAGACTTATATTTATAACAGGAACCCTGATTAACAGAGGTTGCTCAAAACATTGTAAAAAGTAAATCTTTATTTCTTATCATATGGCATTGTGTTATTAAATACTTTCTCATATTTGCCTCAAACTCCCAACATGGAATGAAATATACATTATTTTATATTATTTTGGATTACACATTTAACCCTGAAAGTGCAAAGTTAATAGTTTGTCTACATAAAGTATTGTCTAAAAATGAAGTACTTCATCGTGGGAGTAAATTGTTTACTTTGAAAAAGTGAACGTTATTTGTCATTTAATGTTAATTTTCTATTTTCATGAAAGAATATATTGTGGAAGTTTGTATATTAATTCTGCCACCATTGACAAGTAGAACAAATTATCAGGATGATACATTCTTCTTTATCAAGCAAAACAGGTTACCAGGATGATAGTCTTTCTAGTCAAGCAGAACATATTATCAGGATGATACATTCTTCTTTGCTAAGCAAAATAAGTTACCAGGATGATACAGTTTTCCTTGACAAGCAAAACAAATTATTAGAGTGATACTCTTCCTTGTCAAGTAGAACAAATTATCAGGGGGATAGTTTCCTTTATCAAGCAGAACGTATCATGATGATATAGTGCTCTTTGTCAAGCAGAACACACCATTATTATACAGTCTTTCTTGTAAAGCACAACAAATTAGCAGAATGATAATCTTCCATGTCAAGCAAAATGTATTATCAGAATGCTAGTCTTCCTTGTCATCTATCTTGAGTAACAGAAAAACTGGAAATTATGTTTTCTGGAAAATAATTCAGAGAACTTCTGTTCTTTTTTAGACACTTAATCATTTGCAAAAACAGAAAATTTATGCTGTTGTAATTAAAACATGTCTAAAATTGTTCTTGTAATAAAGATCCTGAGGAATTTTTTTAACACATGCAAATATTTATAGGAAAAATAATGTAAGTACTATATTTCTTGTTTTTGTGTACATTTTTATTTATTGTTATAAAAGTAACTAAAATGTAAAAATTAAAAACTTATTAGGTAGGATAATAAAAACTAATAATAGTAATAATTCCTTACAAGGTATACTTGTGAGCAGTTTGTGCATTACATCATTCAGCATAGTAACATGAGCTGCATGTTTGCCAAGAGATTTACAACTAGTGTGGTGGGATTATTAATTAGACAGAGTTCAAAGGGCAATAAAACAATTAAGTAGAAACAGATGTAGCCTTAAGCTATTTAGGATAAGCATTTCTAGTTTTCTGTTACAATCTGTAGTCATTCAAGAAAGAAAGGGTAATTTAGATTTATATCAAGTTTTTTTATGGTGGTTAAAAGTTTGGTTAAATTGACAGAGTCCATATAGTTTTTGTCAGAAGGTAAGTTATATTAGCCAATTGTCAGTTAAAGGCTTTTACTTATATTTCTTAATAGTATAAATATACTGTGTTGTTGTTGTTGGGCTTAGGATTCTTCTATAGCAGGTGTCTGTGATTTGTTGGTTATAAATTCAACGATAAATGAACAGCATGCACTCCACTTGTTTTCAAAACAATATATATATTTGGAACAAGTTAAACATTTGTACAGCAAATTCTTTACACTATAGAGGTTATAGGCATATCATAAACACTATACACAAAATTATCTTCTTCTTATCAAAAGCCCACTTAGACCTATTCAGTTGTTTTATAATTTCAGTTGACAAGCGAAACTACCTTTCCCTATTTCTGTTGCACTAGTATTCTGTGTATAATTCACTTACAATTGTGGAGTGAGTTACCACAGTTGTATACTGCCCTTCCAGTAATTGTTTGGTCTTCTTTTGGCCATGACTTTACTCTCTTCTGCATTTATCTGTCTGCTGTTTCCAATCATCTCACACTATTTATATGTTTATCACTTAATTGTGTGCTAGCCATCTAGAAATCTATATTCTCGACATCATTGTATTGCATGTGACATTCGATAGTCTCAACATCAATGAATTATAAACACACCTCCCAACAATTGTCTGCTTTTAACTCTACATTATAAAAAAAACAATCATATAGTATTAACTCACAAAATAAATATATTAATAATATCTACACTGAACAGTCTTTTATATCATGATAGAGTTAGGAGATATAAACTAATTGCTAAAATATAAGTTTTACTCAAAAATATTTTGATATTTGTTTAGGAGGTTTTAGAGGTTACACAAATGAAAATTAAAAATTTTGAGATTAAGAAAAGTGTTTTTAATCTTAACATGAAAATCACTTTGCATGCAGAGCAGTCAACAATCTTACTTTATATACTCGCAGACAAATTTTTAGTAAAAATACTTAGTTGAAAAATCTGTTTTTTTGTTTACAAAAGACTTGTAATATTTACTGAAAGCTTTCCAAATTTCCTGAAGATACACAAACATATTAAAAGTTATATTGTGAAAACTGGTGATTAGAAAGTCAGTCACATTGACCAATCCTGTAAGGAAAGAGTTAATAATGTTTTATCTTAAGCCATGTTGATAAATTCAAAAACATTGTTAAGTGCCACCATAAGAGGAACATGTTTATGTGGGATTATGTATTGCTTCTTTGAGTATTTGATCGGACTAGTATTATTTTATGTACATGTAATGCTTACTTTTTACTTTACTATCTGCATGGGTAAAAGTTCTCTGTTTGTAGATGGAAATCCATCGAAGTGACCTATCCCAAGCATAATTTTTACTTAATGAAAAGTAAACACTTTGCATTTTATTGCTAATGCTGCTCTAATCTTTATTATTATAAACTTCCAGAAATTTTTATAATTGGATAATTCAGTGAGATATGTTTTCACTGCAACTAAGGTTTAAAGAAATTAATTAGGTATACATATAAAAGGTTTGAGTTTTAAGGTTTGGTATATATATAATTAGCCTCGTGTGATTAACAGGTTGGTCCATCTGGTGACATGACAAGTTGTGATTTATGAAATTCTTTTTACTACAGAGTCAAGTTGAAATTTGATTCTGAACATTGTCCAAAAAGGCTTAGGTTGCATCTCAGAACATGTAAAACCCTAGATCTTTTGGGAGCCACCTAGGCTTACAAACCCTTGACCAATGGACTTTTTTCAGTCAAAATGATCATTGGACACTTTCACCTATGTAACTGTGTTTGCTGGTATGTTTGAAGAAATGCAGAATTGGAAAGGCAACCTAATGACAGAAAGTTTGTAAAATAAATTTTTGTGAAATAGAATCTGGTAAAAAGAATTTATTTTTTCACTTTTTATCACCTCAAAGTTATTTTTAAGAAAAATTAAACACCTCATATGTCAGCTGTTTAAATGTGATTCTTTGTCAGTTGTTTTATGTCACTGTAGTATTCTAGCTGTTACTAAATAGTTCTGTGGTCTATACTTACACCAAAAACATTCTCATTTAGTAAAATATGTTTTTGCTTTTTTTATATATTTTATTGTGTAGTTCAAGTCGTCCTGAGCAAAAGAAAGCAGCACAAAAAGTAATGGATGTCATCAACCTCATTAACCAAGTAAGTGTTGTTTGAGCTTTATCTTTTACATACATGAGTCAAAGGCTTACTTACACTCAATACATTTTGTAGTTAGACCTTATATGTTTTTAGTTACTGGCAACAGTTGTATTTATCAAATGGAATGTTTCTTACTCTAACATTACTGTTGGGTAGTCAAGCTTAACAAGTGCTTAATGTCAATAAAAACTTACAATATACCATATGTCTTTTCTCATATCCTGCACAGTATTAATAAAAAAGTATTTTCATTTCAATCTGAACCAAACTTACAACTTGAACAACCTGATTCTTATCATCATGAAGATAGTAACAACATGGTTTGAAGTTGTTCCTTCAAACTATGTGTATTGTTTCAAGCAAATAGAGCTTAATAACAAGCATATATAATGCTTTTGAACAGTGTAAACTAAAATTTAACTCCAAGGTTTCTTAACAACTGGTAACATTCTTTGCTGGAAATCTTAAAGTTGAAATACTTGAGTGTAGTGAGTATTTTAAGATTTTTGCATTTTGGAACATCTAAGTGAGAAGGAGTCTTGTGTGTAACCTTTTAAGAGCATTTCACTGGGTCTCCAATGTAGCAGTAACGTGGAATTTATGTCTCAGAACGCAAAGTCCTCATTGTTTAGAGAAGTGATATTTAAAATCAATAAAATGATAGAGTAAGTCAGGAAATATATTGTTCTTTTAAGGTATCTTTTGACAGATATTCTGTTGATTTTGCACAATTAGGCATTTTGTTGTATTCTATTTTGGTGTGCATCAGGTTGTGCACTGAGTATACATATGGGATCTGTTACTTATACACATATCATGAGAGAAAAGACAAAATAATTATATTTCAGACTTACTGTAGAGACAAACCCTGCATTTTTTCACCCACTTGTAGTTATTAGAGTAATCTAGTAAATTTAGTTTGTCATATGTAATACTGAAAACATTTCAGATCCCTCGTGTGTAAAAACTACAGATGATGTTCAGTATATATATATATTTTTTCACCCACATATCCTGTTTAAATATATTCAAGTAATATATACAGAAATATATTACATGCTTTATTCTCAAATAGATTTTAATGTAATGCATTCTACTAGCGTACTTGAACTAGATAACCTTTCTGTAGCAGAAAACTACTCACACTTGGTTAGAACACACTGTTATGGTACACCTTGTACGTCACAAAGTATTCTAGGAATTTTAGTATTATATTAAGAGAACTTTATCTCATCTTTAGACTGTAGGAGATGCCATTTCAGACATGTTATTAGTTGAAACTGTTCTTCATGATCGTGGATGGAGTGTAGCAGATTGGGACCAAATTTACAAAGACCTCCCAAACCGGCAATTAAAAGTTATGGTAGGTTTCATTTTTCCTATCCTTGCAAAGTTAGTTTATAAATTTGAACTTTTAACTAGACTTTCTCAGCATTTGAATTTGACTGGGGTAATATTTATTGGTAGCTAGTTTTTCTCTTCATATACCAAGCAGAGATAATTAGAAGTTTTTAGAACAAATGTTTTAAACAATTTAAATATGTATTTTTCAGTCTTTTATACTTAGTTGGAAGAAGGTTAGAATGTAGAATTAATTTCAGATTTCTTTCTAATGACAAATTATGAAACATAATAAAGAACCTTTTGAATAAAAAAAAATTCTTGAGGTTATATTGTTCTTAATGTCATTTCTTAATTGTTGCATTGAAAAACTGTATTATTATTGTGAACAAGAGTTGGTAGTTTTAGTATGTAAAATGCAGTAGTAATAAGTACATAATAAATTATGGTAGGCTCAATATATAAGGACTTTAATTACAGTTGTTGTGGGCTTTGTGAAGAATATATAAGTACACTTACCAAATGCACATAGCAGTGTTGTAGTTGAGATACCTCATAGTCCGAGACCAAGCCTTGTAATAAATTACACAATGAAAAGTAAAGCAAGAAGAAAAAAATCACATGATCAAACAAATTTTATGAACACTTTAACCACCAGTCTTTTACACATTAACCCCACAGTCTCCTATAGAGAAAAAATAATGAACGATTTTAAAAAATAAGGTCAGCAAATAAAACTAAAACCAGTATTGGTGTCAGTAAATTCTTTATGATCTTTGAAACCAAACAGGATCACAGCAGATCTATTAGCCAATGACAGGGATAATTGCTAACATTTGACATAAATGAATGTACCAGATGAAGTTCATACAAACTAGTAGTAAGCCTACACATAATGCAATTTATAGTAGCAATTAGTTTTGAATAGCACGTGTTATAACCACAGATTGGCGTACAGGCGATATAGTGGTTGATGACAAAGAAAGATAAGGGAGGCAAAGGTGTAGTACCAAGAGGGTTTTGCTAGTAAAACATCTTTGATGTTACACTGTCTCTCGTATGAACTGCTATGTAATCAGTAATTAGCACTTAATAATTCTGGGTAGGTGACTGGTCTAATAGTGTTAAAACTTTTAAATTTAGCTGGTTTTATTTTTGAAACCTTTTAAACATCAAGACCAAGGCTCAAAGGGTGGTCTCAAGACCTACAACACTGGTGCATAGTTTACTGTTCTTCTTACTAACTGACTGGGGATGTTCTTGGAATTCTACATGATTGAACAATTTGTCATATTTTCATTCAGTAGATTAAACTTTAAGAGAAAACTTTTCAACTTTGCACATGAATAGTAAGATGCCTTTGACAAAGGCTTAAACTGAAATGTTGGACATTGAAATACTTAACCTAGTTTCCTGGTCATTTATTTTCAATAAAATGGCTTTAAAACACCAACATACAGTTAATAACCATTTTAAAAATCAGACTTATTCTTAAAACAACACTTAAAACCCTCTATCTCAATGGCTAAGACTGCTAAACTATTGATAATAGCAAAACAGTTGATTTTCTGATCATTAGACAAAATTCATCCATTTGTTGTTATTATTTCACGAGCCTACAGAAAAAAGAGCTATGAATATTTTATTCAAACCTGGGCAAACCTACTAAAAAAACTTCTGCCCAAGTCGTATTGATTCTTGAAAGAGAAGGAGATATGTTAGCAGGTTTTTCATTGCTACTTTCCAAGTTTCTCTTCAAAGCCATTCAAACACTTAAGCCAACATTCAATACGGCTATATATATACTTTACCAAAATCTCTGCACAGCTACTAAGCAAACTCTTGTGAAAATTGTAGAGCTATTTTTAGTTGATCCTTGAAAGTCAAGATTTCCACCCTCTTAAAATTTTCTAAGTTCTTCTTCACTACCAACATAAGCTCTTTGAAGCCTTTCAAGCATCACAGAAACAGATGCCATTTAACCCATTCACAATGGGCTGATATATTTCATATCAGTTCAACTAGGGAATAACATTTATGCAACAAATCACATGATAACTCTGAGATATCCTCATATAACCTGGTAATATCTTGTTAAAGATGATAAGTATCTTGTACACAAAAATAACATTATTTTCATTATGCCTTTCTAATAAAAATGTTATTTCTCTCTAGTAGTTATTTGCACTCAAAGTCTGAGTAGTTTGAGTGCAAAGTATTTTTATTTTAAATATAAAAATACTTTTCTTCATTTTATAGTTTTCATATTTCATTTGCATAACCTCCAGAACCTCCTAAATGAATATCAAAAGTTTTTCAAAGTAAATGTTTATATTTTATTTCTCATTTTCTCTACAATATCACTAACTCTAGCTATTATCATTCCTTTTAATTTTTTGTAGAATATAAATACCTTTATAGATCTTCTTTTGGTTATATTCATAATTTTAGGACTTCTTCTTTTCACTTAGTTATTTTTTAATGTTTTATTTTACTTTCTTGTCCTTTATCATTTATTATTCGCTTCAACACAAGTCAATGGTGCCCTTGAGGCATAGTACAGTCGGTTCATGCACCATGTAATATCGTGAGCCTTGAGAACTGATGCAAAGTATGATGTATATTATTAAAATGTTTAAACCTTTCATTTATGCATTTTCAAACATAAATAATACAATTTAACTGTATCTCTAACAATAACATATTTAGTTAAGAAACAACTGCAAGTGCTATAGTCAATCAAGCAGCCAATAATACTACAGCTAGTTACATATACCACATGATGAATACTGTGTGCCAATTTCAAAAGAACCATTGTTGGATTATAATGTAAAATGAGCTCTTTCTAATGACTATATACACGCATATGTAACCTCTACATGTAGGCTATCAGGCTCAAACAAATCTGTTGAAGGTGGGCATGGCACCAGTCAGGTGTTGTCAAAATTATTACTTGTTTCAATTGTATTCATCCAGAGAACTTTAAAATGTAAGTGTCAATAGAATAAGTAAATGTCTTATTATCTATATGTATATCTACACAACTAGCACTATATTATTGAAGATACGAAGTGCCAAAGTAGAGAATTTTCTTAGCTCGTGGGTCACAGGATGATACATCTGAAGTTTAAGTAGTTTTTTTAAAGGTTTCTTTTGAATTATAGGATTTAAAACCTAGATAACATAAAACTTTGAACCATAACGTACATTATAATGTTAATTATAGAAAATGTGTTTAAAGGGGTACCCATGTTGAATGGGTTAAGCACCGTTAAATTAGTTAGAAATGCTCCGTTTTAAGCTAGATTGGAAATGCTATGTTTTATTAGAGTAAACAATGTGTATATTTATAACAGTGTCTCTAGCCTTATTAATTATAGTTTTACAAGCTGTTACAACATACATTATAATGTTGATTTCTTTCACATTCATTGATAGTAAAGGTGTTTAAATTTTGAATGTAATGCAGTGACTTGTGTAGAAAAGTGTTGAAAGGGTTAAGTACTCACTAGTCGTAAATGCTCTGTTTATACAAGTTGGAGATGCTTTATTCAAGTAAACAATGTGTATATTTATAACTGTCTCCAGCCTTTTTATTATTGATTATAGTTTTACAAGCCACTACAGAAAAATGGCTATGAATATTTTACTGAAACCTGAGCAATAGTAATGAATTCAGTATTGAGTATGTCATAAAGTAGTTTTAAAATTAATTCAAGCTCTTTCTTTTTTCACATTCTGCCATTGAAAAAGTGTTTTACTAATGCGCATCAGTTGAAAAATAATTTGTGCAACTCATATTGCATTAATTGGAAATTGCCACATTGAGGATTCATCATTTCTCACTGTTCATTGTTTCTCAAGTTTTGTTCTCGTATTTTGTCTGTACATGGTTTTCTGTGACTATTTCAGTGAGTTTTCTAACGGTAGACGATTACTATAGTAGATTTCTATACTCTAGTGAGTGGTAATTTATTCTACTGATTTTCATACTTCGCTTGTTAAATGCGTATTTACACGAAATCTCAGGCACAAAACCACCTGGCTCAGTAACTAATCGTTGGGTAGAAAAAAAGCCAATGCAGTAAACTGTTAAAGAACATGTAACATTCAACTGAATACATATGCACATATGTATCATAAAATTTCTCCATAAATGGACATAAATAAAACTTAAGAAATAAGATAATAATAAATAGTTAATTTAAAAAGAAACAGGTTGAATCAAAATGCAAAGGTTGTATTTTCAAGCCTACAACTAGGGACTCTAAGAAATGTGAACAAGCTAGGCTGGAAATAGTGTCTACATTATTTTCTCCAGTTACAAATCCCTATTTTGACTCCATTAAAATTGATAAGTACTGTAGACATACAGTCAAAATAGGGACTTTTTAACACTGCCTAATTCGTTTCCTCTTAACACATCTTGTTGAGTGACATTAATAACTGCACTTAGTTCATTGAACCTCAAGTCTAGTTGTTCATCATACAGAGTATTCACAATAATCGTAATTTCTTGCCAGACACATGATTACTGATGGCAATATGCACAAGCTAGGTCATACAAATGGTTAAACAGTTTGAGGGGATATATGCTTTAATGAAAGCAATAAAAAACAGTGACATTGCGTATTTGTATTAAAAGTAAAACATAGTTTGTTGCATCGGTTTTTAAGGTTACACAAAATATCCTATACCTCTTGTAAATACAAGGAATATTTGTGTTACAGTTTGTGAAGTTCATTCTTATCTAGTGTACACATTGTATTAATATTTTAAGATAGTTCATCACAATACTTTACTTTATAGGTTGTGAGTCATTAACTTCGCTTATATATAGGTTGTTTCCAGTTGAGATCAATTCACATTTTTCAATAAACTTATGTAAGCTTAGTGACAAAACCTCTTGACATTTTTCAGTTTTAAGGCCTACTTTTATAATGTACTTTGCAAGTTGTTTTAACTTGATCAGATCATTTGTTTGCAAATTATGATTTTTCATTGTACTTATATTTTACATACACTACATTGTTCTTTAAATTATATGTAATCTGAAAATCTGGAGTGGCTTAATTGAGTTAACTTTATAAATCTTTAATTTTTCTCAAGATGTCCATGATAATTTTGCAGGGGAATGAGCCAGACCTTGATATTAAAAGATTAAGAAACACTAAATTAACTTGTTATTATTTCTTAACTTCTTCCATGGTGTTTAAAATCATAATTTACTTTTTCTTTGAGGTTGCTGACAGAAAAGTAATCACAACAACTGATGCAGAAAGAATATGTGTAACTCCTGACAGCCTGCAAGAAGCTATTAATAGTCTTACTTCAAAATACTTGTGTAGCAGGGCTTTTGTAAGGTATGTATATTTCTCTAGTAGCAGCAACCCACAGAACATTTGTGGTCAGATTAATATTTTTATTGCAGTGATACTTCTTTAATACAGGATTTCTAGAATATTACAAAAGAATTCTTAAAAACTACAAGTCCCACTCGTCTTAGGCCTAACCTTAGTTAAGCCTTTGATAAGTACAACCTATATTCGATAAAGAGTTAAATGAATACTGTAACTTGTGTACATTTTTTGCTTTAGTTTAGTTAGGGCTAAACTTTACTGTACTTAATACTACCAATAAATAAACTTGTAATGTTATTCTATGACCTAAGATTAGACCTTTTTAAAAATGTTGATAGGCTTTTAATATTTTGTAATATACAAAATATCTACTGAAATATATTTACATGTGTTAAAATAAAGTGTTCATTCTTGTGAATTAAGACAAGATAGACAAAACTGAGTATTATTATTATAATAGGTGATTGATTATAGTTTAATATGGACATAACATGTATAAACTTCATGTTTGACTCAATATCATTTGCAAGGTCTCCAGAACTGGAAAAATAATCCACAAACATAATGAAAAAAGAGGAATTTATTAAATGCACTTATAAATATATGTGATCAACTTTAATGTACCGTTATCAACAAGCATACAAATGCATACTATGTGTAACATGAGGAATATGAAATTTGTATTTGTGGTGAAAAGAACATTATGATAGAAGATGTTTTGATGTCACGCCTCAGTTACTAGCAACATACAAATTGGACTTGCACTCTACCACCTGAAAACATCTGTCTGATTCACTGCTACCTTAAAGGAAAATATTGACTCAATACTTTACTGATTCTCATATTTATAATCTACTCTCATCTCATGATATTTCCTTAATGTACTTGATTCTAGGTATCAAAGCTAGAACTTTCTTGGTATTCTAGGCCTGCTACCACAAACTTGGATGATCTTAATGTCATGTCCCCTCTAGCTAACATCCAGATTAAAACATTGTATGAATAATTTTGTTTGTATTTATGTATGTGTATTGCTTGAATACAATTAACTTCTCACTATATTTAATACAAAAAGGACTTGTGTCACCTGAATATTTTGCTGATACTAGTTCTAGCTTAGTGTATTGATAATCCTAATTATCTTTACCTGATATTTTGTCATATAAGAATATTCCTATAGTTTTCCATCAGCCATAATATAAAACAAAATAAATATCACCTAGAACTATACAAAAATCTGGCTTCTAAAGAATAAGGAAATATGTAAACATTCTGTACTGATGAGTACTAAAGCTCTTTCAAAAGTATGTCAACTACAGAACTTTTAATACCAGACATTTCTTCTTCAGAGAGTATAGCTCAAGATTATAGCCCTTTTTAAATTTAAAAACTGCTTAGAGTTGTCACTTAAACTATAATAAATGTTAGTTCACCCATTAACTTTACTGTCAAATCAGGAAGTGTAGAAACGTGAGCCTTGACAAGAAACATAAGCCTAGAAATATTGAAATTTGATTTGGAGAAATAAATATAAGCTTAATTTAGAAATGCTGTTTACAGTTCAATCACCTACAGATATGACAGAAATTAAAGTTTGAAGTTTTTCAAAACTTTATCCACTAAATAAACATTATATCATGATAATGATAATTATACACAACTTTTGATTAAAAAATTATTGAAATAGATCTAGAATTGTATTTTCTAATCACCCATTGGTCCATACAGAGTTAATGTTTTTTTATATGCATCTTTAAAGAAGTGCATAAGTTGTGATACAGAAAGTGTTTTATATATATATATATATATATATTATTTTCCATATGCTTCATAATACAGTAGAAATACAATGAGGTATAAAACTTGCAAGTTTGAAGCATCATTCGGCAAATTTAGACAATTGTAAGATATAATTAGGATAAATGTGCCTAGAAAACACAATGGAAAATATATTCACCAATCATTAAGTTATAGATGTAGCATTTTACTTATTTTGTCAATTACACTTATTCTTTAACAAATATTTCATATGCTGCACAACACTGTTATTTTTCATGTTAAACTATAGCTTAACATAAAATCTAATTTTCTCTATAAATTGTTTTTTAATTCTGAAGGCCTTCAGGAACGGAGGATGTTGTTAGAGTCTATGCTGAAGCTACGACCCAGGTAAGTAGTGTATGATAATCTGTAACTCAGGTGAGTAGTTTATGATAATGTATAACCTGGCTAAGTAGTGTATGATAATCTGTAACTCAGGTGAGTAGTTTATGGTAATGTATAACTCGGGTAAGTAGTGTATGATAATCTGTAACTCAGGTGAGTAGTTTATGGTAATTTATAACCCAGGTAAGTAATGTATGATAATCTGTAACTCAGGTGAGTAGTTTATGGTAATGTATAACCCGGGTAAGTAGTGTATAATGTACTATAATCTGCAGTTCATATAAGTACTTTACTACATTGTGTAATGAATTTAAAAAACAAAACCTAATGTATTTTGTTCTGCTGCAATACAGCTCCAACTATACGAATGTCCTAAAATCAAGCTAACAAAGACACTAACATAAAAGTAGATTATGCAGTATTCTTCTCCTCCTTAACTTTTAGCATCTTTTTTTTCTCTCTTTTTTTTTTTTTTTACAGCTTAATCATTTCTTGCTCACAATATCTAAACATTTACAATGCAAAAAATGTTTTATAGTTGTTCTCTTTGTGTGATTATGTTAGCCATTTCATGACTGTGTTATAATGACGCAAGCAGTTTAATATATTATATTATATATTATAACTGTCATAACATGGTATTGGGCAAAAGGTTTTGTCAGCACTGGATATGGCAGAAATAATTTGGGGGACATTATTACACATTTTTCTCCGTGATTCACTCATTCTTAGAATGCCAATGTGATTTTCTCCTGTTGATTCGGTGGTTGCTTGACTTGCTCTGGGAACAAAAAATCTACCTTGCTTAGTTTTCCAGTTCTTATGAATGATAATAAAGTTATTAATGCTTACCGTAATTCTAATTAGTAAATGATGTTGATTTACTTAATTTAGTTGAAAGTGAAATAGGGAGCTTAGACCACTACAATATCTGTCATATCCCAGTCAATTTAATTAGTCCTGGTATTGGGTGAAAAGCCTTGTCAGCACTGGTTATAGCAGATGTAGTATGATTGAAATATTATTACATTTTGCTTATCAGAAACACTTCAAATATAATGATACAGTTTCTGTAAACACTAGTGTATGCTATTTGGGACAGTTAACTAATTTAGGTTTTTAACAAGTTATAAAGAGAGAGCACATTATTTACAGTAATTATTTAATTTTCCAAATTCATGCTATTTATGTCGGTGATTATGGTAGGAACTTAGAGCATAATGCAGGTGTTGTAAATAGCAAACTAACAGAAAACAGCTTTCAGGGATCTTCAGTATATTTTTTGTTTATATGTATCTATAATGCACATGTCATCGTGAATAACAGACAAAAAATGACGTAGATCAAGGAGAATTCGTAGAGTTAAGTTTTATAACACTCATGAAAGTGTATACATTTATGTGCTAATGTTAATTGTTTTTTAGAAGATGTAGAATGCACTTATCATTAACTGTACAACTTAAAACAGTTGCTACACAATTGTTGTTGATTTTTTTTTTTAAGGAGAATGCAGACATGTTGGCCTATGAAGTGAGTAAGAAAGTTTACCAGCTAGCTGGTGGTGTTGGATCAGAACCTCAACCTCCAGTTTGAGTTTTGTAGGAGAGTTTTAGGTTAAAGTTATGGCAGTTTCCTTTGGTGATGGCTCGGTTATGTTTCATTTGGATTACTGTCATGATGCTCAAATCATTGTTGGTGGTGGAAAGAATTTAGTCAATTGTGATTTATATTTTTATACACTTGTTCAAGTTTAGATGAAATATCCCAGGTTTGATTTTTTTTCTGTTCCTATACAAGTTTTTTTTTTGTTTACATTTTTAAAGAATTTTACTTAAGTATTATAATAAAACTTTTTTGAACAAGACTAGCATTTTTCAGGAATTTCAAGTTAAAAAAAGAACAGAATGATTTATTTTCTCTTTCTATAGTATTATGTTTAGTGAAAATGGAAAAAATAATGCTGTAATAAAAGTATCGAAATAAAATTTGATGATTATTTTTTTACTTCGTCATGCTATTTGTAAGGTTAAAATTATTAACAAAAGTAAAAAATACCTTAATAGAAACAAAAGTAATGCAATTCTAAGATAAAGAAGTCATTTTAAAAACTTATAGAAGGTTAACTGAACATTTTGTATATGCTGTGAGTTGCATTTTTAATACATTTATACTTGGCTCCAGCAAATAGCCAAGTATTGAACAGTGCAATAACATTATGGGTAGACTTATAGCTGTTATGATAATTATTTTTGAAACTTGGACAGAAGTGAGCTGCACAACCCAGTCTGGGACAATGAACTCACATAGTATGAGAAGACTGTAGTTACAGAATAGAACTGTCTGATTCTAAAGGTCACCATTACGAAGCTAGGCATAACTCTGGTACCATTAACAAGTTAATGAACACAGACTATAAGTTAAGAAAGGCTCTCAAGGTTCTTTCCACACTTCCAAACTAATAGCTTTTTTCATGAGAAAGTTAGTCAGAAAACTGTAATCGGAGCACTCCTATTCGACCACACACACACACACACACACTTATCTTCTAACACTGCTTTTTAATGGTCTATAATGCCTTTGAGCAGCTTATTTGTGGCCTTAGAAGCAGATTTTCATATACTGTGAAGTGGGGTAGAGCTGTGGAATATATGTCAAGATGAATAGCCTAATATGGACTTTTTTGTTCTTTACAAAAGTTTTTATAGTGAAAACTTGAATATAATTTTACTGGTCAATAAAGTGAAATAACGATTATTAGACTAAGTATGGTGAAGTATTTCTAAGTGTGGCATGAGACTTGGAACATTGTTTTTATAAAGTGTGATCAACTTCATTAATTTTTAAACATGACTGAGGCATGTTTTTTGTATATGAAACAAAACATGCTCACCCTTTCAGCTGTGGGGGTGCTATAATGTGACAGTCAATCCCAATATTCATTGGTAAAGAGTAGCCCAAGAGTTGGTAGTGGGTGGTAATGACTAGCTGCCTTCCCTCTAGT